TAATTCATTTTTGTTTTATCTTTTCTCCACTTGCTCCTTATTTAATATGGGTGAAATTTCCTATTGTTCAGTAGCTTCATATGGACCGTTGAATGAAGTGCTTAGCATGGCTTTAAATCCAGTGTTGTTGATACTGGGGAAGAGGAGAACTGGAAGTTCCTATACACAGGTGGAAGTCTGCTTCAGCATATTAGGATGGATTTCCAATGTATGGGCAAAGTGGTATATAGATAAGTTTGTTACGTATACATTTATTCTATGACAATAAATGACAGGATCATTAGAAACCACACTTCCATAGTGTGTTGGGCTTGGGATATCTGGGTGCTGGTCGCCATGAAGTTCACCAACTTTGGTTCTGTTTAACCTACCTCACAGGGTTGTTGTGAGGATAAAATGGAGAGGTTAAGTACTGTAAACCAGCTTGGGTTCTTTACAAGAAAACTATGATATATAAATATAACAAACAAACAAATAACTATAACAGTTTGACAGTTTAATTATCTTAGTATGTGACATTTTTAAATGGTTGTGCTTGCATGGTAATAGTTGGATGGTTTATTTTTTAAATAAATAATACATAGAAAGTGTGGTTATATTATGCTGAATGGACCAGTGCAGTCTTAAATTATTCAGTAAGAAGCATACTACTTTGCCACTAAATCTGAGTGGCATATAATTCATATAGAAAGTGGTTACAGCTCTGAGGGAAATACTATTGTATAAAAAGTGCTACAGAATCATTAACTGCACTGTTTACAACCTGATATTCTGGCTTTCCTGAACTAAATAAATACTTCATGGTACAGGATATATAGTGCTGAATTCTTAGATAAATTGCCTTGCAATTTTGCAATAAAATGGCATCATCTTGACTAAAGGCAGTATAGGAATTAAGTAAGTAAATAAATAATTAAAAGCTGGAAATTCAAATAGGAACAGATGGTACTACAGCAATGGTACTGACAGTATAGAGGTGATGTATAGCAGTCTGCCTTGGGCAGTAGAACCCCCTTTTCTCTCATAATTTATTTCAGATTTTACCCCATTTTGTGGCTATTCATGTCCATAAAGCAACTTTTAATCATATATAAAAATAGGGTGTATGAGTGTATATATGTATTTTATTGTAAACTACTCAGTCCTTTGGGTTATGAGTTGGTATATAAATGTTATAAATAAATAACCATGTATATTACATATATAACACACACATAGATGCATGGTATTTGTATTATTATCAAATACTATAGTTTCTCAACACATTTGTTTACATAAAAAAGAAAAAAGGAATAGAAAAAGCATAAACAATTTAAATGTGGACCTTTGGAGAGGATCTTGACTCTATTCAGAGTGAGCTTATAAATTACTTCTAGTTCAGCTGATCAGTTTGTCATCACCAAGCAACAAGCCAGACCAAGCTGGATTCTACTTCTATGTATTGTTCTCGGACTAGCCCATTACTAACATAAAGCTGTTGTTTAGAGCAGTCTTCCCCAACCTTGTGTCTTCCAGACAGATTTAGACCACATCAACCAGAATTCCCAGTCAGTGGCCCTGCTGGATGGGAATTCTGGGAGATGTGGTCCAAATCTGTCTGGATGGCACAAGATTGGGGAAGGTTAGTTTCGAGAACTCACTGCCTCACTCATATTCAAAGAAAACTCAACAGCATATCAGTGAAATAGAATTCCAAATATTAATTCAAGCTGTTGAAGTGGTTACATGGTGATATTAAACAGCATGGGAGATGAGATGTAATTTCTGCATTCCACACTCGATTGTACAAAGCTAAGTCTCCCAGAACAGTGTCTCTAACATCATTATCTAAGTCCAAAAGGGTGTTTTTAGTACTTAACTCTTACAGAAAGCATGGATGTTCTTTCCTTCTTGCCTTGCACATAAATAACACTGAATAGGGATAACAATCATACTAGTTAGATTATTCTCTTTATATAGAAAGCTCCCAATCATGGGGATCAGGGGAGCCAGTAGACTCCCATTTGTCACTTCATCCTCCAAAAGGTCTTGAGCTCACAGGTTAGTTTCCTCCTCCAGTTGGGTTCCTCTCTTGACTGCAAAATCTGAAAACAATGACTGATTATTGTTGGATGGAGCTGTTGTGGCAGTCCACTATAATTAGGAGAATGGTTATACATGCTATATAAATCAGTTCAGGTTTAATTTTTTTGGTCATTTGCAATTGTGTAATAAGTACACAATATTTTTCTTCCAGTAAATCTAGCCATGGTTCTATATTAATAACATTATATTCCTAAAGTTATATTATACATATCTTGGCTTGCTCATAAAATTACTATATTTAAATTTTTAAAAATAAACTCAGTATATGTGCAATTATTGTCTGAACACATTTCAAATGCAATGTACCAAGCATGACGATTTATGAACAAATCAAGATAAACATAACACATTTTAATTTCCCATTTAATGTCTGACCAGAGGCAACTTCAGCAAGCAGCCCTTGAAATAACTGAAACATCCTAGAAGCAGGAAAACTGGAGGCAAAGGAAGACTGTGATGTAGAGCATCTGTTCCTGTTTGTAAAGTGGTTTGGGAATATTCTTCAAACTGTTCTTGGGTGGAGCTTAGGGAATAGGAACTGAAGGGAAAATATTGAAATTTTATTTAGCCTGAAAAAATTGGCTTAGAAATGGTAAGCAACTATGGTTAATTTAAGTGATCTCCTATTACTTGAAGGGTGGCATTTTATTAATTTTTATAAGTAATTTGTATTAATGTACATCATATTTTTGTTTATTTTATATGCGTATTTTAGTTAAGAACTACATTAATTGACTGCTAAGCATTTAACCAGAATAAGCCCAGAAACTGGACTCTATAGATCAAAACTCAAATCGTTAAACATACCTATTTTTCAATATGAATAGATGGTGATTCTACCCATATGTTAGGAAATTGAGCATGACTTGGAGCTTCTGTACATGCCTCTCAATAAAATATATATTAGGTAAATAATTTAAATAAGGAATGGAAGAAATAATATGCTGGGAATCTTATACAGATGATTAAATACTTTTCCTCATAGCTTCCATATTTCCAGATATTCTACATTTCTAGCCTTTATATAAAGGTATCTTTACTACATTGTTTATATACATTATTTGTGTGGTGGGGGTGAGGGAGTAAAAGACTGTGTAACTATGCATGAACATCTTTCCTGAAGTTCTAAAGGAATATTTTTCATGACCGCAAACTGTTAAATTTTTCAAAATTTTGGGGGGAAAAAACCCCTAAAATGGTTTTTAGAAAAATTTGGAAGAACTTTCCCTCCAAAATTTCTGGGTATTTTCTGAGCCTTCACATCTCTAGTACTGCTGAAGAAAATGGAAATATATAGGTGAATGACAGCAAAATAAAAATTAAAAACAAACATATATTTACAGACTTGGCATAATAGATTGGCAGAGAAGGGCAGGACATGGAAAAGTTTCCCTCCATAGGGACAAAGATATGAAAGAGCTTGAGTTCATGGGATAAGCAAACCACAACAAGCCACAAAATGCCTGATTGTTGAGAGCAATGTGGGTTAGTTTTATTTTCATGATGCTTATCATGATGTGTAAACTGGTCTCTTCCTTTAAGGAAGAATTTTAAATTCAAACTGTATGCCTGTGATGCTGTAGCTTGGAGGCTGGGATTCTGAACTAGATTGGATCTTAATTATAAGGATATGAAAGAATGTCCTTATGCTTGTATGGTTTTCAGGCACACAAGGCAAATCCATCATTATCAGAAGCAAAGTTAATTGATATATGTATATTTCAATTTAGAATGGTAGATTTTGTACACAAATTTTCAAAATGCAGAAGGATTCCAAAATTTGCATGGGGTTTGTTGTCTAATAAATTCTACTTCTCACTTTCTAAATACTTCTGCTTATGCCCTTCACTGAAGCATTCAAAATATAATGAAGTTCAATGGCTGCCTAGGTACATCTATGTTTAGATTCAGGGTGCATTTAATTTAAATCAAATTGATTTAAATTTAAATCACAATTTAAATCACTAGTCAGTAAGACTAGCATTTAAATCATGGTTTTCTGAATAATTTGCATGCATGCATGCCTTACCCAGAGGTGGTGGAAATATTCCCAAACTCGGCCACTTTTATAGTCTGCTGCCATTATGGGTTTTCTCCTCCAGGAAAAGAATAATTGATAAACCTCATGCTATACACTAAAAGATCCAAAGACTTGTGGAGTATTTTGCTCAAAAGCTTTCACCTTCATTTTTACTGCTTGCCCCTCCCTCCTCATACTTAGCTTTTTGGGCAGATCTGTTCCACTCCCAACAACCTTCTATTCATTGAATTTTTTGAAACTTTGAACTTTAAGTGGTAAGGGGTTGATTCTGTGTATGCTGGTTTGCAAAGGAACAATGAGATTAAGGTTTTTATTTTCCTCAACTCTGTATGTTTATTTTATAACATTTTTTGCTGTGAAGGATAGGCATTTGATCTCTGGAGACACACATTCACAGTTTTGAGAACTGTAAAACCAAGCATCTGTGGTAACATCTTCTGATAGAAAAATTGCTCACTAATCTTAGAGAAACTTCTGGAAGAGCATGACATCGTGACTTGATTACTGGAATTCATTACCAAAAAATCTAAATTTTGCATGAATGTACAGCCTCATGCTACAAAATTAAGAACTAATTCTTATTTCATGGTGAATAACTATAAGATGTGGACTATAATATGTGGACTATATTCTGGACTATAATGTGTCTTACATAGATTTTTTCCTCAAGAAGCATTTCATTTTTTAAAAATCCAAGTTAAATTAAAAAAAAATCTTTTAAACACTGTTGAGATTTATGCTTATGGTAACTACATTTTTTTTAGAATTGATTATTTAAAGTAATTTTTCCTGACCCAGAACTTAACTAATTGAAAAAATGTTGGTGTGATCTGCAATTATTTTGCTCTCTTTTCAACTTTTTGCTCTTCTGCAGGCAACAAATGAAGAACTCTGTTTATCGAAGCAGGCAATCTTTGAACAGTCCTAGCCCAGGAGAAACAGAAATGGATCTTCTGGTTACACGAGAGAGACAAAGACGTGGTATCCGCAACAGTGGATATGATGTGAGTGTATGAAAATCCTGTTGGCTGAGTTAATTTCACTGGCTATAAGTTACCATGGGACATGGGCACACAACTTCTTACTCTTGAGGGTCACATCGGTCCGTGTCAAGGGTCTTCTACGCACACACAGGTGCACAAAAATGCTTGCACACAAACACATGCGCTTAGGTTTTCTCTTGTTAGCACTAGGAAGGAACACCCTTTATGTCTGAAGTCTCATCAGAAATCAGCAATGAAGGGATTCCCTTGCTGGATTGATGCTAGCTGTGGAAAGCCTGGGGTTTCTTCTGGTAGCCCTAGAAAATGGATTCCTTCCTTCCCTCCAGTCTCTGCTGTTCAAGTGCAGTTACAGCTGTTTAATGCTTAGAGATGTTCAAAGGTAAGGCTGTAGATCCATTAAGAAGCCAATTTTTATCCATCTGTGAAGCCTTTGGTTTGCTTGTTGGTATAACTAGTTGGATGATTCAGCAAAAAGCATAGGAAAGGAAAGCCATTCAAGTCAGTGTTGAATTAAATTTGTTTATATTTATTTAAAATATTTCCATATTTTAGAAAAGATCAATGTTATTACAGTTTGGCTAGATAATTATTCTGGCAGCTTATGCATAACTAAATACATTGTTATAAGAGTGTATTGAGCTGTCTGTGCATTGTTAGTTACAACCTGATTTCTTTGACTCTTGGGGTAAGCGATAAACATGTAACTGAAGTCCCAACTGATGACTAATAATTTATTTTAGTGGTTCTGGAATTGCACAGTCATGCCAAGCAAGTTTAGAATTTGATACTGGGAACAGGATCCTGGATCCCACATCTTGCTTGCCTTCTTGCAATTCACTTAACACAGCCTAGCAGGGATATGCCATATTTTTCCACCTATAAGACGCCCCCATGTATAGGACGCCCCCCCACTTTTCTTACCAATCTCAGAGCAAGCAAGCTGCTGCTGTGTGCGCATGCACCACCTTGCCACCTCCCTGCATGGGTGCCTGTGCCCACCTCCCACCCAAGTATGCCTGCGCCAGTCTCCCCCCACAGTGCCTGTGCCCACATCAGTCTCCCCCCTGCTGTGCCCGCGTCTGCAATCGTGCCCGCCTCCCCCCCTCCCGAGTGCACCCACGGTTCTCCTCTCGGCCCCCCGTTTATAAGACGTCCCTCAATTTTTCGGACAATATTTTTAAGAAAAGGTATTGTCTTATACATGGAGAAATACGGTAGTCATTGCCTCATAAATCTTAGCACCTTAGCTAAGGGAGGACTGTGTAAGTTCTTAAATGATGGTGCTTCAATGTGAAAGAGAGCTTCTTGTTCTTTCTCATAGAAGGAAAAATGAAACTATGCACAATAAATGAGTATAACCAAATATTTTGTATGGACTGTAGAATTTAGGAGTTTTGATCCAAATTTACACTTATTCAGATTTGCATCATTGTTGAGCAGGAAGTGAGCTGCCTAGCCTGTTGATCCCATGGCAGCACCTCCAGCCCTCTGAAAATCTTTCACGTTTACCCAGTTTACATCATACTCTGGCACCATCAGGGTTTGTTTAAGCCGTGAGCATCTGTGACATGTGCCAGGAGGTATTATGCATAACTCTACAATGAACCAAGGGTTATGCGAGCATTGTTGATCCTCATATAACACTATCCTTGTTTCTGAACTAATGCAAAGGGAGTTGTGGAAGTCCTGAACCATTATCTGGATGCAGTGATAGATTGATGTGGGTTAACAAGCTGAGATTCAGTCCAACCAAGATACAGGTACTGCTGATCAGTAGAAAAGCTAATTTAACATTGCAATTACAACCCGTTCTGTATGGGGTTTTATACTGTGGCAATAGTTGCCTTGTGGGGAACTTTCTGGTGGTTAGGCTGCTATTTTCATTATTATATGCTGATGGTTTTTTCCCCCTTGTTCTACTTCTACTGTCATTTTTCACTCTCTCTGTTAATATCTCTTACTGTTTTTTCTTATTTCTTTTCTTGGTCACGTGCCTGCTCTGGGCATATGGCCTCAAAGGCACTGTTTTGCAAATGCTACCTGATGTTTGTGGCTAGAGCTGATGCATAACAATTTTATGTTCTTTTGTTCAGGCTGATAACAGCTCCAAGAAAATTTACAAATCAAGTGATTGTAATCTGTGGCTGTAATCTGTACCTATGTTTGTGTTTAGGGCATACAGGTCTACTCATACCTTGACCATCAGTTTCTAATGGCATCAACCAGGGATAGGTTATATTGAGCCATCAGTATCTCTGTTGATCTTTTGCAAAACTGGGTTTTTACATCAACCTAGAAAAAAATAGCACTGGAACAGTTCTGGACAGTGTTTCTGGTTGTGCTTACCTGCCTCAAGACAGGATCCAAACTTAAGTGGTGATTGAATGGATTTATATTCCAAATGGAAAATCATGGCATTTGGAATATATCAATGATTTCTGGATATAAAGACAGCTAAAGTAGCGCTAGTAGCCACATCAGGTTCTTGTGTCCACAAAACTGTTTCCTCAGAGTCTACCATTCCAGACAGAATACACATCTGTTCCACAAAGAAGCTACAGGTTTGAATTTGATGTCCTCCCTTATTTACATGCATCCGTGCCTACAGATCATTTCTTCAGCTGCCTACCAGGATTGCAGCCTCCCTCCATAGGCTGATGGGGTCATGTAATCTGTGCTCAGAGAACCTGTTTGGACTGCCATCCTCCTTGAAAATCTTAACAGATGCCTCTGTTTTAATCTAGAACACTCATTGTGGGACTATGGAGGCATAGGGAACTGTGCCAAGCACCATTTCCAGTGACCAACCAGTGGCGGGGCTAGGTATGGAAGAAAGGTGCTGTTTGTGCAGCATGTGGCACATGATTCCTGGCAAGCGCCCTTCAGGTTCTGGGAGCACCCACCCAGAACTTGGTCTCTGGGCCACCACAAAGCTGACCAGAGTCCAGGCAGCCAGTGGGATTCACCCAGGGATTCTGATTGATTCCTGCTCCCAGACAGATTCCTCACTCATCCCTATTTTAGGTATGTTACAAACTTATTTTGCAGAATCCAGTAACACACCGTGGCTGACACTACTGATGTTATTCTCGGGGAAGCCAGCACTTGCTAGTGCAACAACTTTCCATTGCACTAGAAAGTACCATTGATGTTGTGCAAGCATTGGTTTCCATTAGTGCAATATCACTGATGCTAGTGCTACTCTACTAGTGGATCATTCCCAATTTAAAAATTCTCATTTTATATCTTTCCTAAAAGTAGGAATGTCATTAAGTATTGAGTCAGGGTGCTGACAGTTAATTACGTGGATCTATTTATACTGCGAGACATTCAAAGATGTTCCACAGCCCATTCTCTAAATCCAAAGACACAACCTTTTTTCCCTGGAAACACTGCATTGACATTTCATTTCATATTTGTATGCACGTTTTTTTAAAGGAAGCCCAAAGTGGCTAGCATTATCATAACAAACTGACACAGTCATATCAAAATCAAATATCAAGTATCAAATTATATGAAAAAAGGAATGAATATGAAATATGAAGCACTAAAAGAGCAGTACAATAATTAACCAACATTTCAAATCAATGCCTACCTAAGAAAAAAACTAGCAGCTCAGTTATTATTAAGCAGTACTCATAAGCAAACTCCTAAGGCACATATGTTTCAACAAACAAACAGCTGACAACAGGTGGGTGCCCTAAGCAGGCACACACAGATTCACATATTTATGAAGCTTCTAGGAGCCAACAAGCCCACAAATGCTCTTATTTCAAATATGACTTCTCACCATAGGCTGAAACAGCTAAAAGAAAAGGGAGATGACCAGAACCTTATTATGACAAAACATATTTGTGGAATATGTATTTCCTCTAAGTTGGCCTTCAGTTTGTAAAATGGTCTGCTGGATTGGGTGCTGTTTCTATTCTGTATTTTTGGTGTGTTTTATGACTGGCTTGATAATGCTGGGTGCAACAGGATTTTTAAAATGTTCTTAATGTATTTGCTTTATTATAATTTAACATTTTTATTTTTATGATAATTGGCTTTTACACCTTTTTAGTGTAATTTAGTATAAATCAAATACATTATCTGATGTATGTGCAAGTCAACTTGTAGCTAACATTCCATTAACTTGCATCTGTAAGAATTTGTTTATTTACATTGCAGTGTTTAACTAAGACCACTGAGACCTGGATACATATTCATCCATAAAAGCACACTGGATGATCTTGGTATACAAAACTGTTCAACAACCTAATTTATAAAGTATTCAGCAGGACAAAATGTAGACAGGAAATAAATGAATATAAGTGACAACTGTAAAGCCACAACTATTCAAAAACACTTTGCTAAAAAGCCATGTTCTTACCTGCAAAATCAACCATTCATTTAAAAGTGGCATATGGAAAAATGGTTTTTAAACAGATTGTTTCTGTTTCTGTTTGGTTGGCTTTACATTTCTGCTGTGCGGCAACATAACAGAACATGATCCTGGTTAAATGGCATACTGTGATTTATGCTTTATGACAGATAGTGTCAAAACATAGGCAATCTTTTCACAAATTTACTCCTGTGAATATCTTTTGGTGCTTCACAGTTTCACTCACCCCATCAAATTCAATGGCAACGAGTAACTATACTACAACGGACAGTAATTTATTGCATCATAAGCATCACAATCCTTGTTTTCTGTATTTGGGTTCTCATGTATAGCTCAATGAAAAAGTTAACTCAGTGTGTGGTGACAGTGAAAAATGCAAATTCTACATTAGAGACTGATCATAAAACAGCCTGTAATGAAGAATCTTGTTGGCCACTGTTGGAAAGAACTAGAAGAACCTATTACACAGTGACCTGCACTCTGTGTGTGCTAGCAGCTGCCACCAGCAGCACAACAGAAAGTGAACAGATAATGCAGCAAACAGAAATGAACTAACACGCTCAGTTCGGGAAAGAAAGGTTGCTTCCCTGTAACTGTGATTCTTTGAGGGCTCATCTGTGCATTCACGAATATGACTTATGTACCTGTGGTGAGCCTTAGCCTTCCATAGCTGAGGATGTTCTCATGGGAATCTTTCCCCACAGTCACACTACACATGTTCCTAGCAGTTCCTGTCTATTTCCTCAGTTCTCTGCAACCTCTTAGCGTGGCGTCAAAACCAAGGGAATACTTGGTACCAATATTAGTACTGTGGCTAACAATAGCACATACTCAACTTTAATCTCGAGTCCAAACTCAGTATCGGCACTAATGTGGAGAGAGTGGGTAGGTTGCTTGAATCTGTTAGACAACCACAGTTACAGATAAGCAGTGTGTCTTTTGATTTCAGAGCCTTTGTGCATCACACAAGCTGGGAACATCTAGGAGAGGCTGACTCCTCCCTGTTTGCCCACGCAGAACTCAGCCATCTATGCCTGATTGGCTGCTTCCTCCAGTATTAGATGATATATGAAGGATGTCTTATTCTTCAATGTTCTGCATTTAGAAGACACATCTGGAGACCTGAGGGCAGGCTGATAGAGTTACCTAGCTAGTCGTCATCCTAATGCTCTATTTTCTATTATATTAATTGCCTCCACATGCCCTCCTAGCCTTCTTCCAGGGTACCAATTCAGGCCCCAAGAAGAGAACTAATCCAATCCATAAAGTCTCTACTTTCAAAGTCCTGCACTGTTATGGGGGGAAGATGAATCTAGTCCACAGGTCTCAATCTGCAGGACAAGAGCCCTTTGGCTTGCATTACAGACTTGCAGCTCCAATAAGCTGGAGGCTTGATATACCAAAAGAAAGTGGCATAGAAACAAACAGTGCTAAGAAAGGTGGAAAGTCTTGGTCTTCCTGAAAGGATGAAGTGATGTCCTTTGTTAAGACTAATGGATGGACAGGGGCAGAGGTGAAAACAAGAGAAAGTTAGGCAGACATTAGGTATATTGGGTGAAAGAGGAGAGCACAAAAGATAGCTTGAAACTCAACATTAAGAAAACTAAGATCATGGCATCCAGTCCTATCACTTCCTGGCAAATCGATGGGGAAGAAATGGAGGTAGTGACAGATTTTATTTTTCTGGGCTCCAAGATCACCACAGATGGGGGACTACAGCCAAGAAATTAAAAGACGTTCTTTGGTAGGAAAGCTATGGCAAATCTAGACAGCATACTAAAAAGCAGAGACATCACCCTGCTGACAAAAGTGCGTATAGTCAAGGCTATGGTTTTCCCATTTGCAATGTATGGCTGTGAAAGCTGGACCATAAGGAAGGCTGAGTGCCGAAGAAGTGAGGCCTTTGAACTGTGGTGACTCCTGCGAGTCCCTTGGACTGCAAGGAGATCAAACCAGCCAGTCCTAGAGAAGATCAACCCTGACTGCTTTTTAGAAGGCCAGATACTGAAGATGAAACTCAAATACTTAATGAGAATGAAGGACTCCCTGGAGAAGAGCCTCATGCTGGGAACCATTGATGGCACAAGAAGGGGACAGCTGAGGATGTGATGGCTAGATGGAGTCACTGAAGCAGTTGGTGTGAGCTTAACTGGACTCTGGTGGATAGTAGAAGACAGGAGAGCCTGGAGGAATGTTGTCCATGGGGATGTGATGGGTTGGACACAACTTTGCGACTAACATGACATGAACCATTTCTTCTCCCGTCCTCCATTCCCAGGGGATCATAGATGGCAAAGCGGGACCAGCATAACAATATTTGATATATTAAAATTTTATTGATTAGATTTATGTCCCACCTTTTTATTTTAAAGAACTCAAATGGGCTTATATCATTCTTCTCCTTTTGCTCTCAGTCTTATCCCTACAACAACAACTCTGTGAGGTAGGCTGGGCAGAAATTCTGTGACTGGCCTAAAGTCACCCATTTGCCTCCATGACTGATAAGGGGCTTGAAACTTAATCTCCTGAGTCCCAGTCCCACGTTCTTAACCACTTTACCACACTGGTTCTCTTGGACTTTTGGATATTTTGTTCTTTATGGGTTAGTTTAACTGGCTGCTGAGGTTTATAAAGAAACTGTAGTGCTGTTTGAATGCAACAACTGCATATAAGCCTTAGACATAGATGGCTGGAAAATATTTCTACATTTGAAGTTTGTACAGCAGCCTCAATTGAATATCTTTACTTTATCCAACAGACTGAACCTGAAATGATAGAAGAAACAAATGTTGACCGTGTCAATGAAACCCGAAACTATACCAGAGCCCATCAAGCAAAAGGCCATTCAGAGACATCAACTCTGAGTTCTCAGCCATCCATTGATGAAGTCAGACAGCAGATGCATATGCTACTGGAAGAGGCCTTTAGTTTGGCTTCAGCAGGCCATGGAGGACAGAGCAGGCAACAAGATGCTTACAGTTCTGCACAGCACTTGCCCTACTCTGAAGTTGTGACCAGTGCTCCTGGTACCATGTCTCGGCCCAGAGGGGGGATACAGTGGGTGCCTACCTATAGGCCTGAAGTGTACCAGTACAGTTTACCAAGACCTGTAAGTGACAACCTCTGTGTGATATATGCAGAAATGTTGTGGCTATGTGGTAATTGTTGGATTTCTATTTTGTCTGCAAGGAGAAAATTCTTTATGTATTAACATACTTTATTTGTGTATGACAGCAAGACTCTCTTCCCAAAGTCTTTACTTCCACATTCTGTCTACTCTCTTTTGATAATTTTATAGCATATTTCATTCATTGACTCTGAATGCTAAAATTGGCTTTAGCAAACAAAACTTATTCTACATGTTTATTCTTCCTAGCATGATCGACCAAATGTCAACTTGAGTTTCCAAACTGCATTTCTCAGTGGTCATGTTGAGAATTCAGTTGTATTGTGAATGAGCTGGTGCTGGTGTACACTCCTTTACTGTTCCCATAGAGAGCAGGAGTGGTTAAACAAACAACAGACTGTATGTCCATAATTTGTTTATCATGACATGAGACATGAACCAGAGTCACAAACCAAGTACCAACTGTGGAGAGAGAAGCAGAATTCCAGGTTCATGCACCATGTTAAACAAATGACAGTCAGAAATTCCATGGATTTTGTACGGACAGTGGGCACCATGCATGTTGTGGTATACTGATGCAGCCCGTATAAACATAATGTAATAACACTGGCAATTACATGCTTTTTGTCATTCTCCTGACTCATGAAAGTGAGGCTGTAAGTTTGAAATGAAAGAAAAGAGACTAAGGCTTGCTCAATATTCCTAGTAAGAAATAACTGAATTAGAGACATGCATTGCTGGATTAAGTATTAGGTAGTCAGGATCTATGCATGAGATATATCCAAATGTCATATTCCATCAAGACTCTAATATGCTTTCAGAGAAGCTTGGCCTTATGTTTAAAGTACAGGCTTAGGACTCTAGAGGCTTTATTGATTTAAATCATTTTCATTCAGGCCACCATACAACAAAAAGAAAACTCTAAAATGGTCATATATACTTCTGCCTGAAATGTCCTACATGACTGGAAAAACAGTTACCAGTTTGCCCTCTGTGTTGTGCTCTGGAATACATAACAACCATATCTTTAAAAGAGAAGGGACCATGACTGATTCCTTTTGTCTCAACTGTTAATAAGAACAAAACTAATTTTCTATCTGTATTCAGTTCAGTTCTATCAATCCATCGATATAAATATAGCATATGCCGTAGCAATCCTGGAAAATGTGACACCAGAAGTAGCTGAAGATTCCTAACTTGCTGCACCCTGAAGAAATAATTCAGAAAGAAAAGATTCATTTAGTCTTCTGTTCCCTGCCTTTGAGAACCAAGCTAGCTCAATGTGCTATCCAGAGTATATATTGCATATAGGCATGTAGGTACCGCCAACTCAGTTCTCTCCAGTAACAGATAGTTGCACAGATGCATAATGCCCTAACATCAGTACAGATGATGCAGGGAAATACACTTTTAAAATGGCATATTACTGGGAGACATGCAGGTATATGTTTGTTTGTAAGTTCCCTACACATCTGTCAATTGTCTAAGGGTACAATTGCTGCTCTTGACATCGCTCTGTCCATTGGAAGTGTTTTCAGAAGAAGCATTTACTTTTGCCAAAGTCACATTTAAAGGATAGAATATCCAACATGGTGTTCATCCTGAGCACACCATGCACCGTTCTCAAGAATGTTTCAGACATTTTTCAATTACTTTGTATGTGTATAGCAAATCCTGATGCATCCTAGGTACTTTCAGTACAGTCCTACTACCTCTTTCCTCTGCTGTTGGTTGCTGGGGCCATTAATCCTGGACTTCAGGGCAGTATTATGACCTTGAAGGATGTTTTTCCTTCAAACAACCACTAACCACAGACCGTCTTCCTTGCAACTTTCTTTATTGTTCCCAAGTACAAAACTCCCAGAACAAATTTCTGAGCATGCACAGAGTGGTTTGGTGAACCCAGTCTCCGTATGAACATGCCTGAGCCCTATCTCCTTGGGAGGGGCTCTCTGAAGGCGACGGCTCCGCTCCACACACTGCTCATTCAGTTGGACCTGCCATTTCTGCTGAGGTTTTGCCATGGGGTCAATAGCAGGGGAGGCCTTGCCTGCATCAGAGAATTCCTCATCTTCAGAGACCCCTTCCATTGATTGCACTTATTGGTTGTTCCTAGGAAGTGCCTGGCTTGGCAGTGTGTCTGTTCTTGAGATAATCTCCTGCTGCATCTCGGAATGTTGACCTCTAATCCATCCTCCCCAACCTCACTGAACTATGTTTCACTTTCCAATTCCGAATCATTATCTGGAATGCAGCCAGCATCCATGGGAATGATTGCCCACGATTGACATGCTTCTTACTCCCCTCAATATCCATTGCTGCTCTTAGGCTAGTAAGAACACTTTCTAGCATGTTGGGAAGCTACAGGTTGACAATACGACCTGCACTAACTGAGCAGGATTAGTCAGCAGGGTTCATGGAAGAGTGCTCTGTTGACATGCTCCATTCTGGAAATACCAGATGAACTAGTGTCCAGGATTTTACTATGAAGTAGTAGCTTGCTGCATTGTAGCAATCATTCCTTTAAGTACAATGCAACTAATATTGAAAACTGTCCATTTGGATGCTGTCCTTTAGTAATAACTGATTTGACCTGGCTCTTGTTTGACAAAAATTAGTTCAAGTTTTAAAAATAGGTCTGTGAAATTGTAAGTTTACTATGAAACCAAGGATAGAAAGTGATTTGCTTTAGGACTAAGGTGAGTGGGCAGGAAACTAAACTTAAACTTGCATCTTACGCTTGTATAAATAGCTTTGTTTTAAGAAAAGGCTTTTCAGATTTTTTTAATGGAAAAGCCCCAAGATTATTGCTGTTACAGTATGAGAACAAAAATAAATTTACAGGTGATACCAACATTGCTATGTCGGAAAAAAAATCTGATTCATTCCTTTAGGGTTTATTTCAAAGCTACTGACATTAAATGTACAGGTTTAGGTTGTTGCTGTTTAAACCATGGGAAAAGTTGCCCATGGCACTTTGAAATTGTTGACTGATGTTTTGAGGTATTCAAACAAATGTTACAGTTGGAATTCATGTAGATACTGTGTTAGCACATTGTTATCAACCAGTTTTTCTTACAGTCTTACTCCAAGGAAGCAAAAAGCAAAATATGTCTTTGTGTGTGTGTAAACACATAGACCACTTCCTTGTTGAATATGTCTGTAGTTGTAGGCAGGCATAGCTTCTAGCTTCTAGAAGTGTGCATAAATAAAATTAGCACAATATAGCATTGAAGCAAAATGCTTGCTGTCTCATTGGTTTACTCTGTTTAGCCATCTTACATACAATACAACTTAGTGACTATCTGTACATAGTACCTTCTGTGTACAGTTCTGAGTCATCTTGACTCTGAACTTGTTTACTGGGAAAACATACTCAAATCGAGTCAACATGTGTCCACCTGTGAAGGCCTTACATCTTCAATATAAACTTGCTGTGGGAAAAGTATTGTCTTTTCTGGTCCCCAGTTGCTTCTGGCTATTGGAGGCTGAATTCGGATTTTGACACATGTTAAAAGCTGTTTGCATGAAATGGAAGTATTGGTATGAATAGGTGCTGAGGATACTTACTGCCTAAGAGCTACTGTAGAACTGTGGCTAGACGTCTGAGTGGAACGGTCTCTTGTGCAATTCAGCCTAGTGAGGAGAAACCTAGATTTTTTCATGCTGCTGCTTTCTTCCAGCAGTTTAAGAGTATTACACTAGGTATATCTGGTGAGAACGTATTACACTAGTTTCATGAGAACTTTCATACAAAGAACTGGTCAAATGTATGAGCTAAGATTATAGGTTTGAGGATCCCCAAATTGACATCTCACTTCAGTCTTTCTTGAACTTGCTAAATTACCTTTTGCTAAGAAAGCTACTCTCATAAGGAAATTGCAGTACTAACCTACAGGTTTATTATGCATATTACTGCGATAAAGAGTGAGAAGCTTTGAATACCCTGAAGGCTCTAAGTGCTAGATGTTATTACTAATACATGTACTTGAGAACTACCATCTCTGTGTAGGATAAACTACAAACTTCACTTTGATATTTTAATTAGAATCAAAAATTGATAACTTTGCTAGGCAAATACTGGTATTGTTGGCTCTTAACGTGGTAAATAATGTAAATGTGGTGTGAAATATCATTCATACTTTTTGGATGCAACACGAAATAGGTTATAGGATGGTTTTGAAAGCTGGTGGTTGAGGCCCCATGGGTGAGGGTGTTCAAGGATAGGCTAAACATGCACACATTGGGCATGTCGTGAGCAGAGCCGGCTGGAGCCAGGGGTCAGACCAGATGGCCCAGGAGGCCCCTTCTGACTCGCTCTGTTTCTATGTTTCTATAACTTTCTGGTTCTTCTTGCATATAAGAACATAAGAAAAGCCATGCTGGATCAGACCATCTGATAGTCTAGCATTCTGTACACACAGTGCTAAACCAAGCACGATGGGTGTCAATACTTGTGTATGTGGGCATGCCATGTCTGGTGAAGGAGGTAGTATATAGCTAAGAAGACTAGTAGCCTTCTCCCTCATGAATTTGTCTGGTCTCCTTTAAAAGCCATTCAGATTGGTGGCCATCACCACTTCCTTTGGTAGCAAATTCCATAGTTTAACTGTAAGTTGTGTGAAAAAGTACTTCCTTTTATCTCTCTGATACCAAACAATTTCATGGGATAACTTCAGGTTCAATTGTTATAGGAGAGGGAGAAAAATGTCTCTTCTACACTTTCTCCACACCATGCATTATTTTAAACACTTCTGCCATGTCTCCCCTTAATTGCCTTTTAATAAGCTAAACAGCCCCAGTTGATGTAGCCATTCCTCATAGGAAAGCTGCTCAAGACCCCTGATCATTTTTGGTCCCGTTCTCTATACTTTTTCAGACTCAATGATGTCTTTGCTCTGCTAAGGCAACCAGAGCACAATATTCTAAGTGTGGTTGCACCAAAGATTTTTATAAGGGAAGTAAGATTTTGGCACTTCTATTTTCTGTTCCATTGCTAATTATGCCTAGCATGGAGTTTGCCTTCGCCATAGCAGCTGAGCACCGGACTGACATTTTCATCGAGCTGTCCACCACTACCCCAGGATCCCTTTCATTCTTAGTCACTGGTAGCTCCGATTCCATCAGTGTATACTTGAAGTTGGGATTTTTTCCCCTCCAAAAGCATTATTCTAGACTTGCTTATACTGAACTGCATTTGCCCTATTGATGCCTATTCTCCCAGTTTGGAGAGATTCCTTTGGAGCACCTCATAATCCCTTTTGGTTTTAACCACTCTAAGAAGTTCAATGTCATCAGCATACTTGGTCACTTCACTATCTACTCCTAATTCCATGAAGGAAATTAGGAGGGTAGGTACTGGGAGGAGGGCTTTCTCAGCGGTGGTGCCCAATCTATGGAATGCGCTCCCCAGAGAGGTCCACCTGGCGCCGTCATTATTTGGTTTTCGGCACCAGGCGAAGGCCTTTTTATTCAAACGTCATTTTAATTGCTAATATTATTTGCTTAATTCTTCGGCCAGGGTGACTTATTTTATAACGTTAATGTGTTTTATATTTTAACTGATGTTTTGTAAGCCGCCCCGAGGCTTCGGCGAATGGGGTGGCATAGAAATTTTAAATAAATAAATAAATAAATCCAGATCATTCATTAATAGGTTGAAAAGCATTGGTCACAATACAGAACTGTGTGGGACTCCACTGGTGACATCTCTCCAATGGGAGAAATTGCCATTTATTCCCATCTTCTGTCTTCGGTCTTCTGTTCTTCAACCAGTTCTTCAACACACACTTTTATTCCATGACTGCCTAGTTTGCTCAGGAGCCTTCAGTGAGGGACTTGATCAAAAGCCTTTTGGAAGTCCAAGTAAACAATGCCTACTGGGTTGCCCCTGTCTATGTGCTTATTTACATTCTCAAAGAACTCCAAATAGGTTAGTGAGACAAGACTTCCCTTTGTAAAAGCCAGGTTGATTTTTTTCCCTTTTCTCTCCCCTCTCCTGCCCTGCCCTGCCCTGCCCTGCCCTGCCTTGCCTTGCTTTTGGATTAGGGCTTGCCTCTCTATGTGTTTACTAATTCTATCTTTAATAATGCTTTCAAGAGGTTTATCCAGAACAGAAGTTAAGCTAACTGGTCTGTAATTCCCTGGATTCCACCAAATTGGTATTACATTGGCCATTCTCTAATTCTCTGGTGCAAGGGCTAATTTTAGGGACATGTTAAATATTATGGTAAGAAGGTCAGTAATTCCATGCTTGAGTTCTCAGAGAACTCTAGGATGGATACCATCTGGTCTGGGTGACTTGCTGACTTTCAGTCTGTCAAGGTTGGGCGTTTCATCTTTGGTCTCTACTATCTGCACTAATTCTTCGGCCTCCCTTCCAGAATACATTAGCACAGAGGCAAGTATCTGCTTTGCATCCTCTGCTGGGAAGACTGAAAAAAAGAATTCATTCAGCAATGAATGAATGCAATCTCCTCACCCCCACATAGTGCTCCTTTAATCCTATTATCATCCAGTGGCCCAACTGCTTCCTTAGCTTCTTTGTTTTGACACGTCTAAATAATTCTTTATTGCTAGCTTTGATGTAGTTAGTGGTGTGCTCTCTAACTGCTTCTTTGCTTCTCTGGTTGTCTGCTTGCATTTCCCTTGTGCAAGCTTGTGGTCCCATCTGTACATTTCATTTGGTCAAAACTTCCAGTTTTTGAAGGAAGCTTTCTTCTGTCTAGTAGCTTTTTTGACTCTATGCATTGACCATGCTGGTGAGTTCCTCTTCTGTCAAGGTGTATTACTGTGCCATAGTATATTTAGGTTACCTGTAATGCTATACTGTGCTCTGGAAAGATGTTGATATTCTGACTATTCTAGGCAACTAAAACAGGAATATGTTGGAGCAGTATTTCAGCCTAGCTGTTAAGCATAATTAGTAACTATCACTGCATTTCCAAGGGCATGTGACAATCTGACAAAGGCCTCAAGGTTAGTATATTGATGGAGAAAACTGTTGAGAAAGTTTCTCTACATATGTATAACATGGCAAAACTTTTAACTTTGTTTTATGGCATTTGCTGCCAAGCTCTGTTCTTGACTGATTGGACAGCATGCATCTGCACACCAATTTTTAAGGCACCATTCTTACATGTATTTTTAAAAATCATTTTATTGTCTTAAGAAAGTGACTTGGCTTTTTTGGTTGATTACTAGAATATGAGAAACAGACATACATCAAGAATCAGGAAAAGAAGATTGAAATATAAAATAAGTAATTGCAGGCATTTTCATTTCTTGTGATGTTCTTTGATACTTCCAGAAGTTTTGACATTAAAAAGCATCATTTTCAGTGGGTTAGAGGCCATTTTGATTTCTCCTTTAGGAAGCAGAGAAGAATGTTGTACTCTTACAATTTCTGGAGGTATTAAAATGTTAACTTGAAAAAAAAGATAATATATAGTTGCAGGGGGTTCAATCAAATAGGTTTCTTTCAGCACACTCCTGGTACTAATTGGAAAATACAGTGTATAATATTTTTTATGAAAAGTCAATAGATCTTTGAGAAAACATTTCCCCCCCTCCCTTCTTAATAGGCATATAGGTTTTCTCCACTTCCTGAAATGGTGATGGGTTCTCCGCCTCCTCCTGTACCTCCCAGAACAGGACCTGTTGCTGTTACCTCCCTCAGAAGGTACTATGCAGTCGTTTTATATTTTAGCTGAAATTTTAAATCTCTTGTTACAGATATTGGTTGGATTCTCACAAAATGTTAAATCCCTTGGGAATTTTAATGATGTGCTGTGGTTAAAAATGTTCTGTGTCTGACAGATGGTTAGATACAGGAAGGATTGTGCCCCAGGGATTCTGCGGGAACACTGAGCAGCAGCAAGCCATTCAACACTGGCCATAGTTGTGAAATGCACTCCCCTGATTTTATCAGGAAAAGAAGAAACCTTTCCCAGCTGTCCCTAAGTGCAGCTAGCCCTTTGGCTAGAACAGCAGACCCTCTTCCCACTTTTTATTATTATTTTTTATTATTATTATTATTATAACATTTCTATGCCGCCCCTTGCCGAAGCCTCGGGGCAGCTTACAACACAATAAAATACATTGAAATACAATAGAACATAATAAATTACCATTAAATACAAAAATACAAAATACACTTTTGCCAAGGGACTCTCTGGTTTTTTGGTTTCAGCATGGCTCATTTTGTCATTGGGGATCCAACAACACATTAAGCTATGGTGGGTTTATTAAACCCACCTACAACCCACAGGTAGTTGGGGTAGGTTATAAACCACCCTGTGGAAAAAGTGCTGGGTTCAGACAACATGGTAAACCATTGTGTCTTATAAATCACCATGGCTTAACATGTATGTGTGAACCCAGTCATTGAACACTCAAGGCATATTGCAAGGCTAGATGCCTTGTATGCAAGAGATATTTATGAAATTACAATAATGTTAGAACTTTAAATTTTAAAATGGTTTTAAAAAGCAGGCAGGCAAAAAATGTCTCTTTGTTTAACTGTAAACTACTCAGACATATAATAAATACACCAGATTTATGCTGTAGTATCTTTGAAACTATAAGCCCTCTATTACAAAGTCATAATGTCAGATTAGTTGTGCCATGAAAGAAGTGAATGATTCATAAACCTGTCTTTCTTTTCTGAGATGTCCAGCTGTATGCAGCATAAAATATATTGATGACTTGATAAAATTGGTTTTGGCACTCTGGAGAGTTACTATCAGATTTCTTATCTTCTCTTTTAATGACTAATAAATATGAAACAGTTTTAACATTGTTTTAATATTTAATGCACAAGTCTACTGGTATTACCGTTGTACAGCCTCCATTCATTTTAATCTTGTAGACAATGCCTTATAAATTCTGTGTTCTCACTGCAAGCTAGTTTATAAAACACTTCCTGCCATGCATTTCTAGGATGTTTCTGCATGTTTCAGGCTTCTGAAATCACCTGGTCTTCCAAATAATGACAATCTTGCAAAAATTACATCCTGGACCAACTGCAAAGTCACAGAATTGCTTGCATGTTGTTGTTGTTGTTTCCTGTGCATTGAACAAAAAATACAGAAATAATTGAACTGTCCTGATTGGCTGCCGGTGATGTCATAACAGTTGTGCAAATCAGTGAACTGTAGAGCACTGGCAGCCATGCTCATCTTTCACTGTCAGGTGAAACGATAGTAGCACTGAACTGAGAGACAAAGGAACTCCACTAAAATCAACAAGCTTGTTGCATTTTATTAGATCTGGAGTTTGTTTTCCGCCAGTCTTGGCAGGATGCAACAAATAATCAGTGCTATTTGTTGTAGCCGCTCTGCTTTTCATTTTCTAACATTTGCTTGTGCCGCAGCATGATATATATTTCGAGTATTCAGTAAAGAATCTTTGCAGGAGTAGTAAATGAAATGTGAGACTGTGCGACAGCTAGGCTGGATTTCACCCACTATTCAGAAGTATCAAAGCGAGCAAACAAAACATTCTCTTTATCTACTTTTGCACAACATGGTTTGCCCTTGCTGTTCTATGTCTGAAACTCTGTTGCCTCTTGACAGTTTTTGCAAACTACAGCCCATGTAATCAGTTTACTCTCCAGTCAGCAGACTGTAGATTGCAGTTGTGCATGTCCGATTTTGAAATGACAGATGTTTCCTATATATTATACAGGTCGACTTCTGATATTGGCAGCAAGACAAGAATATCAGAGTCCAGCGGGACTGAACAGATACAGCCACATGATCATGCCCCCTTTGTCCCAGTTTCAAGAGCCCCAGTATCTGTGGCTCCATTGGATCAATCAGCTTTGAATTACTCAGGTGAAAAACGCATGCGGTACAAACAGAGACCACATCTAAGTCTGTATGGCATAGAGACGAGCGTATGAGATCTTGCAAATATCCTTGTTTAGAACTGTGTTAAATGGTTCTCTTGAAGGCTTGAGGAGGAGGAGGAGGAGGAGGATTAATAAAAGGACCACACACATGCCTTCATTTATCACATGCAGCGTATTTCTGATATGAGAGAGGAATGGGGAGGAAGGGCATGTTCTTCCTCATTGAAGCGCCTGGAATTGGAATCTTTATGAGACAGGATCTTGGAACCAATGGTGTTTTGTGGTACAGAAAACAAACGGCCATGATGTGTAGTCAGTTTTCCTTGCAGTGGCTGCCCACTCTTGGGTTGAATGCACACTGCATGGATCCAAAGGCCACAAGCTCTCTTTAGAAAGTCAGTTCAATTACCACTTTCAGCTCAATATGGTGAAACCAACCTGAACTGATGATAAATGTCATGTGATTGTTTAATTGTGTCTCCAGCTTGCAAGCTAGCATGTCCTTGCAAACTGTTCAAAAGTGAATTAGGTGAGGATATCCTGATTAGAAATTGAGAGGTTCCCAGTGTGATAAATCAGTTCAGATGAACTTTACCCATCATCAATAAGCTGAATATGGTCGTGTGCATAGGTGTTTTTTTCTGGGAGCTTACCAGCAAGCAGATGCTACCTGCCTCAAGAAACTTCAGAAAATATTAACATATAAACCTGCTTCACACTGAGTTAGATCATTGGTTCATCTTGTCCACTCTTATCTAACTTGTAGCAGCTCTGCAGGGTCTCAGGGTCTTTCCCAAACACACTGCCTGAGTCTGTTTAACCTGAGATGCCATAATCAAACCTGGGACCTTATACATGCAAAGCATGTGCTCTCTCTTTGAGCTGTGGCCCCAAACAAATCTCTTTGATTGCAAAGAAATCCTAGCCAGCTGATCAAAATCCTTTCTGTATTAAGGAAATACCACAGATGTCATATCTCCTTCGGTACACTGGAATTTTATGACACTAAATGTATATGCCTGTGTATGAATGAGTTGGGCTCATCTCCTATTTTAACACTGTAAATTTGATCTGCCATTTTGTTAGTGTTCCTGTGTTCACTGCATATTGCTGAAGCCCATGACATGTAAGAATCTTGAGGAAGATTATTCAGTTCTGTCAGGAAGCCAGTGAAATGTGTATTGTCTTCAAAGAAGGGATAGTTGTGTTGCTAGCATGATGGGGTTGGGAAGGCAGGTGAGGCAAATGATAAGAGCATCCTTTGTGTTTGCTGGATTGTGAAGGGGTCTGGAAGATGCAGATGGTTGTCAGGGCTGTTGAAGCCTGCTGGAACGACACTAGATGCTTGCTTTTCACCCAGCTTTCTTTAAGTAATGAAAAACATTTGCGACAATCTAAGGTAAGCAAAAGAAAAATGACTGTTCTGCCTCTCAAAAAAGCCTTGGTGATGATGAGATCAGGGTCTTCTCTTGCTTTTGCTAAAAAATCATGTAAAAATTTGTCTGCTGCTGCCATCATTGTACCATGGGTATTTGCTTATTCCTTTCCCTCCCATCCCTACGATAAACCAGAAGTGATAAACTCCCCCAATAATTTGGTAAAAGTTAAGTTGAACCTTTGAAGAAATAGCTCACAGTGGATTCGTGCAATCATTAGAAAGAAAAGCCACTGTGGCTTCTTTTCTCTGGTCAATGGTTGCATGGTTTGCCTGATTACCCTTATGGCTCGTGGGTTGCTGTGTTGTGTGAACTGTTGAGTCATGCAGTGAGGGTGGCTTCCAAATCGCTGCATGAACCTGTGCCTGGTTGTACGGTTTCAAAATAGTTTGGAAGCCCCACCCCCCGTTATGCATTCCCCACTGTGGCTTATTTGCTGGAGTGATCATGCAAACCTGGCCATCATGTCTTAACAGCCAATTTGAGCAAATGGAATTTGGAAGGAAGGAAGTGTATAGGGGAAAAGTGCTGCCACGTTCACTGACTTAGAGTGCAGTCCTATCCATATTGAGAGAGAAAAATGTCCAAGAACCTGCCACGTTCCCCAGCCAACTATGCGAAGAAGGACAGGGAATACTGGGAGTTGTGGTATGTTCTTTTGCTGGCCAGGGAATGCTGGGGGTTCTGGGACTGCCTTCTGTCTAAAAATGCATAAGGTTACACCCTTAATGGTATTTCTCCAGCTTTTTTCCTTTGGATTTTCTTTCCTTATATTCTGTGGTTTAACACACATGGGTGTTGATTTACACACAGGTAACTGCTTTTCTCTATGCCTTTAAAGTTCTTCTGCCCCAGACTGAGCTTTCCACCTAGTATTATAACATATGCCCATCCAAAACAAAAATTAATGTAAAAAATTCCCTTCCTGCTACAATGTTGGTTTCTATTTGCATTTTGAAACTTATGAACAACCATAAGCAATCAGTGGAATAAAATTGTATTTCTGCTAATTTGGCTGCTAGCCACTTAAAGATACAATAGTCAGCAGATTATTTCAGAGTTTATAAAAACATGTTAGCAAGTTCATGGAGGCCATGAATAGACATCCATTAAAAAAAATATGTATCCCAGTATTTTAAACTACTTGAGACCTGGAGTAAGCAGAAAAGAAATGGCTATACTCTTAAATTTTTGAAATTCTGAAATATCAGGATTTTGAGAGATGATACTGGGCTTGAATGAATTGTTGACCTTGACAACAACTGAGTTTCTCAATTTTTCTGAATCTGAAATCCTAAGGTGCTAAGCTCTATTGCAAGAGAATTAGGTCCACTTTTCTTACACGTGTAAAATAACAGCTTTGTAAAAAGTATAACATTCTTTAATTTATCTTTGTAAGATCAGGATTTAATAGTGTAATTACAGATAATGGCTTTCTCTTTAAAAAAAAACTGCCCCAACACACAATCTCTACAAAGGCCACTGTGCTAGGCATTCTTACATGGAAATAAAGTTTCAGTGAAACCAGTGGGATTTTCTGTGTTTTTATAGTTAAGGACAAACTGATATATATTCTTTTGACACCAAGTTGGAAATAAAGGGCTTGTAGAAATTTCACTATATTGCCTTAGGCGATGGTCCAGTGGAGCATTTAAAATTTTCACTTAATTTTAGGCAAGTGAATAGTCCCTGTGAGACCGCTCTGCACAGTTTGCATGTTGCCAAGAGATGTTTAGTGCTTGTGTGCTCTTTTAGTCATGGCTCCCAGAGGATATGAAGACTCTTGGCTTCTCTAAAGCATGGCAATTCAGCAGTTCCTTCTAGGCAGTCCATTCCCGCTGATATATTTTGTGATTTTTTTGAAAAGTGCAGTTGAGAAGTTAAGCTGAAATTTTTGAAACTAATTGGGAGTAGGATTGTGCAGAATTGCTATTTCAATTAAGGGAAGACTACAACTTTTACAGCATCTGGTGAATGAACACAGTGATTCCAAATTACTGTTTAAGAGGATGCTGGCATTTATCATTCACCTACAACACATCTCTGTTCCAACCTCCCCTCCAAAAGGGCAATGCATTCTGCTCTTGCCTCTTCATATATATCCCTAATGTTACATTCTTCAGTACCTGAAGCTTGGGTACTAAATTCCACACTAAAGAATTTTTCCTCTTAAATGTACACTCAGTATTTGGGAACTGCTATGCTAGCATTTACTTGATTTTATTTAAAGATAGCATAGAGTTATTTGCTGATATTTGCTTGTTTAGACATACCAATATTATTCAGTTAAGGATTTGGGTAATGATACTGCAAAAAGGGATTGTATGTCTGATGCAGAAGTGTCTGTAGAATGACTGATATGGCACATTTACATACCATAGTTAGTTTGCTTACTGCAGTACAAATTAAATGAGATGACCTCCTGGTCCAGAAAGATTTAGGGAAATTGTTAGGCTCTCTGGATGCAATTTGAGCTGTGTTGTAGTGAGGGCTCACAGGGTCTAAATGTTTCGACTATTACTGTTACTATAATTAGAAGGGACTCTCCCTCCACCCCTTTCAGGCTCTCAGGTCCTAGCCACACTTAGCAGCTATCCTCACGGAAGTTAGTGGAAGTGGGGACTTACATTGTTATGCACTACCCCTATAATAATACAAAATATTTTGGAGTGACTTGGTCTTGAATGGGCAATAAAGATCCATTAGCTTTATAAGGGATCTGCTACTGGTGGAGATGAAAACTTGCTAGAACTAGTTTTTTATCTATAGTTCAACCTAACTGCCTGCATTTTAGAGTTTCGTTCAGTCATGATGAGCCCGTGCACATAAAGGTTTACCACAGCACTACTGAATTTAAGATACAGTTAGTATGATGGAATGACAAAAGCTCTAGTTTTCCTGGGGAATAAATTATGTCTTCTTAAGCAAAGTTCAAATTTAAGTGAGATGTTAAAAACTTCTTTATATGTTGTAATGCACCCAAAATGGAGTCTTGAACATTTAATAATTCTGTCAAGTCTTTCATTATAACCATCTTTACCAAGTCTTCTTAGGAACAGTTGTCACAAAAGTTACATACATGTGCTGGAGCATCACTTGACAGAAGAACTGGTCTAGCTTGCTTATTTTCTGGAAAGGGATATATAGCCTTCTGAATTTTAATGCCAAAGCCCACCTTTTCAGTTTTGCTTTATATAATCTAATGAACTGGATTGCAGTGCCTAAGCAGAAAGCAAGGCTGGCCTTGGGAACCCTAGAGACATCCTAGAATGGCTCTTATTTGAGCACAAACAGCCCACTGACATTGTTTGGCAGATACAGCATCAAACAATGTGGAAATAGAGGGAAAATAATGTAGTAATTTCAGTCAGTGCTAGTTATCAACAGGGTGTTTTTTAATGAAATTTTGTACCTTTAGTTTAGCTTAGTGAATTATGAAAGGTTGTGGGTGGAGGATAATGGAGACTTCAATCTTATAAGCCTTTTTAGTCTTGATGATTTGAAACTTAGATTAAAGGCTTTCGTGGGTGTGAATCTGTAATTGGATGCAGTAATGGGCTGCCTAGGAATAAAAATGACTAATTGAAGAATTCTGTGATGAAGCAGCATTCATTCCCAAGGCAATGTGAGTTGTGATAAACACTATGGCAGCCCACTTAGCTTCTAAGTAGCCATTGAGCTGCAACCCTCAAAAGAATCGCTCCAGACTGGAATCATCCCACTGGGCTTGATAGAACTTCTAAGAGGTTTCAGGCAGCATACCTTGATGGATGGGTTTACAAATGTAGAATTTGCAGCAGCCTGAACATTTCATTAGTTTGACCAAATGTTCTTGAAACCTCCAAAACAACAAAAAATGTGTCTCCAAACATAAGGTGAAAAACAAATATAGAGGTTCATCTGACACCACTCAGTCTAAAGGAAAATGCAGGATCCTTGAATTCTTCAACGTGCTTTGACTACCTCAAAAAAGAGAATCTACAAAAAATAATTGGCTGTCTCCTGGCCTCAAGCCTCACCAATATAGATTAGCAGGATAAATGGCCCATTAAGCTATTCATTTTGCTGTAACTAGTCAAGGCTTTGACAAAAACTGGCCCTGGGTCTGGGATTGTGTTTCCTTTTAATCAGTCCCCCTGGTATTTAGGTAAGACTTAAGGATCAGTGATTCCAAGTGGCAGCAAAAACATAATCAGTGTTCAGCCAATAATGCCTGTATAAGAATCAAACTTCTGTGGCAGCCCAGCAGTACTAAAATCTGTATTACTCACCACTGCCAATGTGAAAAGATTCTCGTGTGCCCACATGGGTATTTTAGCAATGTGAATGACCACAACTCTTTCCTTCTGCAGCAGAAACAGTTTGAAATGTAAAGTTATGCAAATGCAACTCTTATTTTAATAATGCAACATGTTCTTCTGTAGCCAGACCCTGATTCTGAGTGGTACACTTTCTGTTTGCAATAGAGCAGCTGCCTCATTTTTTAAACTCTTGAGGGTAGGAGGACGCTCTCTGCTACTCTTTTGCTCAGGATCACAATGGTTGAATAAGCAGAAAAGATGTCATAATGGTTCTAGTCCACACCCCAACAATCCCTTTTTGGCTACTATTCATAAATTAAAGGTGACATAGGAAAAATGCACTGGACTGCTACCTTTTTTTATTTAAGCTTATTTAATATTTGCATCCTTCTGACTCTGGGAGCAGCACTTTGGTAACTGTGGCTACTCAAGAGGAGCTTACAATTCTCCCAGCAGAATAGCAGCTCCTCAGTACTCTCATCCTCGGTTTAACGTCAGAAGCCATCTCTTGTGATTGTAAGATGTGGTGTAAATATACAGCCGTGGTATAAATATTGGTACTGGAAATGGCTTTAAACAGTAAAAGCATTTTCCCAATTTAAATTACTTGTGTTGTATCTACAGTCATCCCAACTATGACTTGAAGAGACTCTGTTTGTAAAATGATGTCTCTGTTTTTAATTGTTTTTTTTTCTTTTTTTGGAATTGCTGTTTTTTGATTGTTGTTAAGTCCCATAAGGACAAATGCATCCACGCCACTCCCACTTCAGTAGAAGGAGTATATTCTCCTGAAACCTTTTAAATTCAGAATTCAAGTATCACACTACCGTGGTCATATGTCATTAGAGGAGCATAACTTCAAGAACACATGTGGTTGACTCCCTGCCCCACCCCATGTACCTAAAGCGGGTGCTTGGTTGGTGTCCTCGATTCCGTTCATTTCATGTAATTACATAAGCAACATTTATGCAATTTTTACAAGCCCATTGTAGACAACGAAGGCTGGAAACTGCTGTAAACTGAAATGGAAAAAATGGAACTTTGTCTTATTAAAATATATTGTTTCTGTTTAACAACCCATGTGTGTGAAGTGTTTTGTTTCAAGTTATTCAGGTACATTTGTCTCTTTTAAAGGCCACAAAGAGAGGATTGGCCTTGTTAATGACTGATGATAATCATGGACAACCCTGTCAGCTTTTAACTACTATTCACTGACTTGTTGAGTAGTTTATCTTAGATATTCCTGCGTGGACATTTGAAAGGGGAGATAATAGAACACATTTGTTGTAAGATTCTTCAGGGAAATTTACGGGAGCCCTTTTGGTGTCAGTAAGCAATTTTACCAACCTACTCCAAGTGAGTGAAAGTAACCCTTGTGTGCTGTATTGATAAAGGCTGTATTGATAAAGATGACAATTAAGAATTTCTGAGTGTCAAACTGCTGCTTGTTGATCAGTCTTTCATTTGGAACGTTTTCACATGTGAGACTTTTTACTTGTTCTGTTAAACTGGAATATGCTTTCAGCATGCTTGGAATATGCATAGCACAAGTACTCGGAGAGAGTTTGATGCCTTCTTATGTCACATATAAACACAAGTTTTAAAAGTAGAGGGAGATTCATAGAAAATAAGGTTGAAAGCTGTGATCCTTGGCACCTCAGGTCTCCCTAAATTTAATTATTCTATGTATTGAGTCAACACACATGGGTTCCAGCTGTAAGAACAGTAACTTCAATCACAGGAGCAGACCAGGGGCACTGACAATGCATTAAAGCAATGGCAAAATGGATGGCTTTGGGCCTTGAAAAAAAAAGCATTGGGATGTTAGAAGTTGATAGCTGATTCCCCACCCACTGCCCTCGCAAAGCATAGTTCAACCAAAAAACAAGAGAGGATATTTGCTGTTCAGCAGTTAATGCAGAACTAAAGCCAGTATGTATCATGTTGCGATACCTACAAAATAATGCCTTATATTATTTGATATTTTGAATCTAAAGGTTACAAGATGTAGTCAAAATACTTGTTGCACCTAGTACACTTACATGTTAGCAGCTGATGCATGCAGTATGTAGGAGAGATGCTTCATTGAACAGACGATAAAGATGGATTCTTTTTCTAACACTTGGCAACATATTTCAAGCTGAAAGCAATGATGTGTTGCCAGGAATTTAACGAGGATTCCAGAGGATACCAGTGAGACTGAAGAATCTATCCATTTACCAACTGAAGAAGATCACCCAAGTGGACAAATAAACTGTACATGTGAACATGATAGAAAGCATCAGGGTTAAAAAAGCATTGGGTTTAAGATCATGCAGTGATCTTTGTTAGCATAAAATGATGCAGGTATTAGGAACTTTGAAGGAACAGAAGGGTGAAACTAAATATAAATGCCAAGTGGTTGGTACAACATCTATGCTGTGTGAAGACAAACCCACACCATGGAAGAGGAAACAGTGACATCTATACTTAATTGTATTCCCGTTCTCATTGCCACAACCAGAAATCATACATACATCCGGTTGATTCAGCAGAATGGTTCATGCAGGAGTAATTTACAGTTCTTTGTCATGGTCTCTGTGCATTTTATTCTCCTTTAGGAAGGTCAAAGCACCATATGCACACAAACTCAGTTCCAGAGAAGCAACAGGTGGTCACACTTCCCTCTGTTCTATATCCTGCCATAACTGCTCACAATTCAGTAGGGTGGTCCTAAGAGCATTCTTATCCCTTTAGATATTGAAAAATACTACTGTAGAAGTATTTCAACCCAGTAAATGATACTGGACTCTAACACTAGAATCAAAATGACATGTTTTTAATACCACACGTACAACTTTACATAAATTCACAAGGTTACTAGAAACCTGACTAGCAACATCTCTTTGGCTTCTTGTACTCTCTTTCTGCACTAGCAAAAATCCAAAAACCCGCATCTGCACTGTGCCTATGTTTGACTTACACAACTGATATTCATTCATTCATTCATTCATTCATTCATTCATTCATTCATTCATTCCTTCATTCATAGTGCAGATATATATGATCACTAGCTCATGGCTTTGATGTCTCCACTGTGTCAAGAACATTGTCATTGCTGGGTTGTCATCTTCACACAGGTATAATCTGTTGTGGGATGATTCATCCCACCCAAGTGACAACAAGGCACCAAGTGCAGATACAATAATGCATGTTCTGTCTTTGGCAAGGGGCTCTATTGCCAATGCAAAATGGTATCTTCTAGTCGGAACATCTCAGGTATCCTTTGCAATGTTCCTCTAGGTCTTTAGCAATGAGTTTTGGTTACTAATCATCTTCCCTATTTCTTGATAGGAAGTACTGTTCCAGCGGTGTTTGCCATCCCAGCAGCAAACAGATCCGGGTTCACAGGCTATTTCATCCCAACACCACCTACCGCATATAGGAACCAGGCTTGGATGTCCTATGCTGGAGAAAATGAATTACCAGGGCAGTGGGCTGACTCGGTAAATGTGCACACTTTTTTTCTGTTTGTATGTCTGAATGCTTACAGTAAATATACTAATGACAGGTATCTGGGAGGTAAAATTTCCTAACAGATGGTAACATTTTGTACAGCTGGTACTGCCAAGTCAGCTATTTGGATATCCTGGGCTGGTCTAATGAGAAATTGAAAATTAAAGAATGATGTCAGTTTAGGACAACAGCACTTCTCTTTGCTAAAATTTGTAGTAATTTGTAAAGCTGCCATTGCATCCAAGATCCTGAACTTAAAGCAGCACCTGGGTGCAATATACATTGCTAGTATAAATTGCGTGGTATGCAAATGACCAGAAGTGTAACTAAAACAGGAGTCTCAAACTCGTGGCCCGCGGGCCAATTGCCAGGACAGACGGGCATGGGGGAGGGACCCTGCGGCCTTCAAAGCGCCAGCGGCGCCTGGGCTGGCCGCAGGATGAGCGGCCCACCACCACCGCGGTGGTGGAATACTTGATGCGGCCCCGCCTCACCCAGACTCTACTTCCAGCGGCCCCCAGGTAAGTTGTGTTTGAGACCCCTGAACTAAAATATTCAGAACCAGAAATTCTCTCCATTTATGTTTGCATTTGATCCTTGGGGAGAGGATATGTTCTAGTGCCACATCATATGGTTTATCTTGCCTTAGTTCAGTAGTACAAAAGATCCCACTGAGCCACTGGCCACAGCATTGTTTCCCTGAAAACAAGCCAGAACTTCTGTGTGTGATTTCCTAAGCTGTTAGAAGAGGTCCAACACAAATCGATAAGTTAAGAATGACGTGTTGGAGATAGGCTGATATGTAGTCCTTAAAGCAAGACAAAAGGCTGTAAATGTTTTACTGATAGTTCAGTTCTCATCCAAGCCTATCCCACACCAAATAGTTGCCAGCAGTAACTGAAATTACTTTATTCTGATCGGACAGAGATGCTTTTAACTGGATTTCTGCACTGAGCAGGGGGTTGAGTCAGGTAATCTAAATGGCCCATTCCAGCTATGATTCTCTTTGTTACCAAAGTCATTTTAGGTCAGCCTGGCTAACAGGCAGTGGGCTGGTTCATATATCACAGTAAAGCATGGTTTAACGCTAGTTGTGTGAAATGGAGTGACCACTGACAAAAGTATCTTTCTATTATTTATAAGATTGAATGCTTACAGTAAATGTGCTTATTCTCCTTTCTTGGTCCCACTTGTGAGACAAGCATCCCCAACTCACTGGCTATCTGAGCACCTTTCTGGGAAACAGCACTGATGAAGGGAATGGCACTTGCCCCCCTCCCTTTCTTGCTCCCACTTGGTAGGGATGCCTCCCTGGTAAGCGTGGATGGGGGGCAGGGGGGACTCAGCTCAGCAGTGCAGCCTCTCTTGAGTACTGCTGCACAGGTGAGTCTCTCCCCTCTTGCTTAGTTGCTATGCATGCAACCAAGATTTCCTTGAGGTGCAAGGAAGGGGAATCAGCTGAGTGGCATCAGCCCCCACTAGGCAGCACTGCACAGCTGGTTCTTGCCCTATGTGTGGAAGGCCAGCAGGGAAGCTGGTTGAGCAGCATAGCCTCGTTTGGGCAAAGATGATCTTTAGAGCAGAAGGTGGGCAGAGTGGGGATGTCTCTGCCGGATGCAGAAAGTGGCATCTACCAATGGTGTTCTCCACTGAGCAATGGGCCACTTTTGCCAGGCAGATCTCTGGTTTTTGCCTTGGAACAATGAAGAATTGTATTTTCTAGATATGGATGACATAGCAAGTCATCTGGGTACCGGAAAGCCATAGAACAGTCTGTTGTTTCTAAAGACCAAATTTACCACACTGAAATGCCATGACAGGATTCACCCAACACGGCAAACAATGGCAAAATCCATTGTTGCTTAGCTAGTCTTGTGAACCTGTCCTGTGTCTGTGAAAAGTCAAACTACTATGGCTTGTTACTAGAGTTAAAAATCGCCATCTCTGTAAGAAATGCAGGAAAGAACTAAAGTGTGGGCTACTCTGACAACTGCTTTTTCACTAGATCAATTTCCTCCATTTTAATCACTTCTGTAAAGGAAATTGTGCCACTCCTAATTGTCTTACCATTTAGATATGAAAAGCAGACATTTGCTTTCATCATGCCAGACAAACTACATACAAAATTCATAGTTTCCTACATTAAAGTGTCATCTGAGTAGAAAATGTTGGGAAGGAAATGGGAAAAGCAGCATTTAAATGTTTTCTCCAGTTATGTTCAAGCCACCTCAAAGGCTTTGAATGGAAAGTTCTGAAGTGCTACTATACAAGTTTACGTAAGCTAAAATTGGTGAAATACTGCCCCCTAGCGTTCTAACACAGCTCTCATTGCAAAATCAGTCTAATTTGCACAGTTATGTGAACAAGAGGGGTGTGCTTTGTGTTGACCAAATTTGATTGCCACTGGCATCCTGGAATCCCATAGGTTTAAGCCATATGCTTAACATAGATGAAGTTATAGAGGTCTTGCAGTGCATGAGTGGGGGTGAGCAACCATGGCATAAGCAGACTCCACATCTAATAGACTTACTGGAAATGATACTCTTAAAGACTAGATTATCAAAGTGATTATCACTTTCAAAGAATAAAAGCTATTGCTGTAATTTTTGTACAAATGGTCTACATAATGGTTGGATTTACTTATGATATGTATTTCTGCCAATTCCAGACTTGAGAATGAGTAGTCTACCTTTTCATTATTTCTGTCTATATTTGAAATAGTTGTCCTTTATGTTTCAGAGGGTACTTTTCTAATTAAGAAAAAGAGTTTTAAATTATGATAGCCAAATAAAGTAAACACAGAATTAAGACTTGGTGGCATTTGCCCAGTTTGGTATACAAGTTCAAGTCTCAACTGCTGTGTGCATTTTTGTAATATTGAAGCAATATTTGGATCACATGGCTAATTTTAAAACTCTAATATCTTTAAGAGTTTATTGACTTGTGTATCTAACAACAGAGAACAGTGCCAGACTATTGAGATACACTGGGACTATTATGGGGCACAGTCACGTAAGGAATTATTATTAGACAATATTCTGAACACAATCAATATAGTTAATCACCAGCGTTGAAACTAGCCATACTATTTGAAGTTAGTGGAAAAGGAAAATAATGAAATATGCCTTGGCAGTACTTTATCCATGAGGATATTCAGCAATGTGTAGGATACTTTTATTGGCTGGTGAGATAGGATGGTTTGCAAGAATAATTACCGTTTTAAGCATGATTAAATGGTAATTAAAAGCACAACAATAGAAGAATTAAAATAATAAAATATAGACAATAAAGTATCAAAATAGTAATAAGCATTTTATGTTAAAAAGCATACAGAAATGAAATATGTACCAGCTATTAAAAGGTCAGGAGAATAATTCTTTTTGCCTTGGTATATGAAAAATTTGTAGTATGTCCACAGAAGAGATGTCATCACAGTCCAAACTCAGCTACCTTTGGATTCTAGGAGAATCTGGAATACTAAATATTACCTCCTAGTAAATAGTCATTCAATATCCAAAACTTACTTTTCACCTGCAATTAAGTTCCCTAGAGAATATGGTCAAAGAGCTTGTAAAGAGCAATTGTTCCTTTTCACCATTGAGAATGTGTCTTCCAGCATAGCCCTTATGAAATGTAAATTGCTTACACTTCATTGTGTATATTAGTGAAGTACTACTGAAGCCCATCTGGCATCAAAAAAAATCTTTTCAGCATGAGCTGAAGACTACCCTCCACATCCAGGCATTTGATGGCATAAGACTGAGTTTTAATGTCAGTTTTAGCAGGTGCCAGTATTTTAGCTGTTTAAGTTGTTTTAAATTTAGTATTTTAAATTTTTAATATGTTTTATAATTTCTGTGGATTTGCCCAGGGTGATCTGGGTTTTGGAAAGTATAGAAATTAATAATTATTAACATTTTTATATTGCCCCAAAGACAAAAGGCTCTCTTGCTGGTTATCAAAGTCAAAAGAACATATAAACAAGAACAGAAACACCATATAGCAATAAAGCAATATAATGATAAAACAACCAATAACAAGAGGCACATAAATGCAACAGTAAAATATAATAAAAATACATATGAAAACTAAAAGTAGCTATTAAAGTACCTGGAAAATTAAAAAAAGTTTTTCACCTGGCATCAAAAAGAAGAAAGAATGGGTATCAGACATACCTTTTTAAGGATTTCATAACTGAAAAGTCCTTCTTTCTGGTTGCCACCCTCCTTTTCTCTATTGGACGGGGCTCCCTAAGAAGGTACCCCAAAATAGGCTCTTAAGGCTCAAGTAGGAACATATGGGGCAAGGTGTTTCTTTAGATAACTTGGCCCCAAGCTATTTAGGGCATTAAATGTTAATACTAGCGCTTTGAATAATAGTTCAGTGCTAGTACGGACAATCTTGCAGATTATAGGAAGATGCACATGGTATTCAAAACTTGTAACACCATGTGAAACATACTTCTAAAACATGTTTCATATGTATAAAGGAGTAACGATAAACTATATATGACTAACTACTGTTGTAATAAGGGTCATTTGGTCCATTCTGTCCCTGCTCCCATTGAACCCACTGAATAAGAACAATCCTAAAATAAAGAGAAATTAGCATCAGATGCACGCGTATGGATTTTTATAAATCAGACCTGGGGACAGGGGGATGGGAAGTGGACTAATTCACATTAGTGCAAGCATGCATTAGTGCTAACTTGCACTTCCCCAGTGCTCTCAGTGGTGTTACTGTGAATTAGCACAAGTAGAATGGTCATCCCCCTCCCCCGTTACATCAATAGGCAGAGGATGGAATGAAGATACCTGATAATCTGCAAGACAAAGATGGAAGAGATTTTTAAAAATTGGTACATTCCTTGTTACAGCTAACTTACTGCAAATGAAGAACCTTTGTGTGTGTGTGTGTTCTTATGTTATTGGATTTATTGTATGTTGCTCTGAGGATCATGATGGTCATAAAAATGAAATTGAAATAGATTGCTTTGTTTTTTGTTTTCTGCTTTTTGTAAGCCGTCCAGATACTTTTAGTATTGGGCGGCATATAAAAACTTTAAACAAACAAACAAACATTTAAAGGACATTATAGAATAATTAATATAGACTTTTCAATCTATGTTCACACTTTTGGATAAATTCCTAGCAGCATTTTGACTTATTCATGCTGGCAATAGAGAATTAAACCATACTGTAGACTAAGGCTAGACTATCCTATTAAGACTAACTTAGCTTAGTGAGTAATGGTAAATGTGATGTTCCTAGGGATAAAAGGTTTTCCTCATTCTGTTCCTTTATTTTTCCTCCGGTTTGCCCTGTCCTGAATTCTTCCTCTCCTGTGTCTTGGTTTAACTAGAACCCTATTTAGACATTGCATTGATTCAAAATACAAGAGTGTATTTAGAACTCTACAATTCTAGAGTTCCCAATCACACAGGGGGCCCATGTAAGTGAAGAAGGCCCTCCGCTTGAAGTGCTATCCCTGTACAGAGGGCAACAGGGAAAACACTTCTTCCTCACACATTCATCAACATAGAATTATGACACCGTAATTCGGCCTTGGAGAATTTCTGAAAATTATTTTGGAACTGGAGCATGCACATTTTGCTCAAGTTCCACGTTTTGCAGATTGGCATCTCTCTCCCTCCCCACTACATTACTGGCGCACACAGCTACATGGATAGCACACTGCTACAAAAAAAGTAATTGATGCAATTGTACGTACGATTGCATCAAGATTCTTTTTGTAAAGTGTTCTACTAATGCACACGTATGTTCTTGCTCTTTAGTAGAAGTCTCTGCAAAAAAAAAAAAAAAAGGGACACTACAGTGTGTATATCTTGAGACATCCAGACATGTTTTTTGTGTATACTATCACAAATTGGTCCAACTGGGGTAAGAGGAGAGACACGAACTGAAGATGAAAGCTAAGGCATATTTTGCAGATACAGTGCTCCACACGACATTTGGGCACTTTTAAACCCACCCACACATAACCAAGCAGAACAATAGAGAATTCGTAATACTTGACTTGCACATGGGAACAAGACCAGGTAATTCAAAACTCCAACCTCCAGGGACAAATTCAGACAATGAGAGTTTTGGAAGTATGACTGGATAATTCCATCCCTTGGGGAAAGACTGAGTTCTGCTTAAAGCAGGGTGAACTTTGTAAATTCTGTATATTGATAAGTCAAAGGGTGTTTTTTGAGCATTGGATATACTCTTGAGTTTTATGGGATCAGTTATCCATGGGTTAGAAATCACAGACAGTAATATCTCCTTTCTTAATCACAGATTTCTTGGGATGCCTTGGACAATTTGCTGTCTCTGTATTCATCATTATGTATGGTTACTTTGCAGTCATAAAATGGTTTGTTCCTGGAAATCAAATTATTCTGACAAGGAACACACTGATTTACTCTCGCAAAGAATGCATGCAGCTCTGGCTCAAAAATTGCTTTCCGACTTTGCCCCTGAGTGGCTTCTTTCCACAGGGCAACCACTGCAGAAGCTCTCTGTCATGCAAACAGATAAATAAATATATCTGAGGGCAATTTATTTGTCTAATTAAAATCTTCTCTAGGTCCCACTGCCTGGCTACATAGAAGCTTATTCACGGCCGCGCTATCAGCACAACTCTCCTTCAAGGCTTCCGCGTCAGTACAGCCAGCCAGCAAACATGCAGCCCAGCCTGGAACAAGCTCCGTTGCCCTGTACTGCTGCTTCTCAACACAGCCTAACTGAAAATGACCCTTTGGATAACCCTCTCCCCAGCCTTTCTACAGCTGCACTAGTGAAGGCAATAAGAGAAGAAGTAGCTAAGCTAGCCAAGAAACAAACAGATATGTTTGAGTTTCAGGTCTGATGGCTTCATACACAGAAACTTTGCATCACAACCCTAGTCAGCTTCTGGCTTTTAAATCAGACTTGTTGTGGCTTGCGCTAAAGCAATGCCATATTTTTCCGTCTCTGACACAGTCAACCCTGGATTCTTTTTTTAATGTGAGTAACTAGAACAGTCAGTCTGAAGATCTACTCTGTCTCTTAAGCCAGGTGTTTCCTGGCAACTCTGTTTAGACATTGATGTAATATATTTATCATATGCAATTGTCTGCCACATACTGCTCATTCCATGGAGCCTCTGTTGTTGGAAACATTACTTAAACCATATGCCTGTCTAATGTTCCAGTATATTAAGAGCTTAGAAAGCACAAATATAGATCATTCTGTAGCAATGTGTGCATGTAAAAAGTAAACTTTATCTTTCTGGATAAAAAAATAATGCTAATATTCTGACAAAGACCATGTATTTATCTACTAGTGGTCAAGTTGATACATTTTGGGAATCAGTATCAAAAGAATGACTGCAACAAAGCAATAGAGCTCAGTTCTGCCTGGAGACCATATTTGAACTATAAAAATGTGATGCGAATGAATCCTGCAGAATCCTTTTTAAATAATCCCACACTTCATCATCTTTGTTCATACTCCAAAAAGCAGAAAATGGGAGAACTCTGAAGAGGCATACTAGTGTAATTGGTGTCTAAAGAAGTGGTGTAATGTTACTGTTGAGTGAAACAGAAGTGTTTTCAATACTCTGTCTCTCTGCCATCAAATGGGGGAAAACTGACAGAGTAAGTGGGTGTTAAAAGCACTCTGGAACTTCCAGTGAAAACAAATTCTGAGTGTGTCCTATATTTGAAAAGGTTTTCATTTTGAATAGATGGTGAATGTGGTGAATTTGAGAACCCTGAGTCTGTCTCAGTTTGGAATAATGAATGCACCTGCTTTTACAAGAAAAGCTCTGTTTAACACTGAGCTCTGTCCTTTTACTTTTATGAACAATGACTTCTAGTGAACTGATGCCAGAAACAGCTGACCAGAACTGTGACTGACTTGGATTACACTTGAGTAATGATTATGTGAACTCATTAAGAAACCCAAATAATTTTGGGTGTGGCTACAACCTGTTGATTATATTATAGTGTAAATAAGTGTGCATTGAACAAAAGAGCATTCTGTAAATAGTGGTTGGGAGGTAGTATTTTGCCAAACACAACCTGTAGATTCTGAAAGATAGATGTAATTCTAATTGAAATGATAGCTTCTAGTAAAAATAAAATAAATTTTAAAAATGTGATTCTATACTGATTTAGCTTTGGCAGTTGCAAAAACAAAAATCGACTGTTACAGAAATCCTTAATTTTTCATGTATAAAAATGTTATATTTTTGATTAGGACCAACTGAGACTGCATTTGAGTGTCACTGATGATTAGCTTGCCTTTGGTTTCTTGATTTATTCAATTTTAATTTGTAATGTTCGCTAAGCAGAAAAAAATCATTTTAGGACTTTATTTGGTCTTTACTAATATAAGTAAAGAAGAACATGTAATTTCTAGCTACCCTCCCCCCCCCCCCCCCCATCTTTACAGGTAAGGGAGACAGAAAATTGAAATAGAACATTCGGAATGGTTAAAGCACATCTTTTTAAGCAAATGTTTCAAAAATTGAAAAATGCATTGCCCAGACTGCTACTTAATTAACATGGTATACATGAAGATTTCTCCAAATGTCTTAATAACTGCAAAACCTTTGGTGTAATTATTGTCTTGTTATTTAAACAAATTACATATAAATAAAATGTATTTTTGTAATCATTATGTAAATAGTTAGTGTATATTTCTAAAAATGCTCGACTTGCTAAGAAGAGTAAATATAAAGCAATTGTGAACAATAAATAAAAATCACCTTTATGGTTGGAGATTATATATGTATGCAGCAAAACAACCTTACTGAAGTACCAAAGAAACTAGACTCCTATAAAATGACCCTACGAAATCATTTTTAATCTCCTACAAGGCAATATTTATTGTGTTACTGTATTGGAGTGCATTCATCTTGTTGTATTCAGTTGTCTCTTCCAAAGTACTGTAACTAACAGTGGAGAAGAAAAACGTGGCCATGAGGTCCTGGTCAATGTTTACAGTTTTCTGACAAAACTGAATGGGAGTTTCGTGCTGGTCTTCACTTCCACAGACTAAACAAACAGTCAGAACTGGCTTTGCCGAAGGACCAGCTGCTACTGTGAGTGTTGGGTAAGTCTGCTGTTGACTAATCTCTGCTTCAGGATCTTGCATTGGAAGCAGAAAATAGCGGGCAGCGAACATTAAGAAGAAAGATACTCCCAAGTTGGGACTGTTTTGTTTTGTTTTTGAGTGGGATGGAGGGTTGCCTCTGCATCCCATTTAATGTTAACCATTTAATATTTCAGTCAATTAGAGGTAGATTCCTTTGGTTTAAAACATAGTTTTAATGAATCACAGGTAATATTATAGGAACATTACTACAAAATAACTTGTTAGGCTCTTGAACCACAGCCATACAAACACCTTCCTATTTTCAAAGCCTTTGGCCTCCATGCATTCTTTCCATTTGTAAGGCTTTTGCAAAAGGGGCAAGTCATTCCATAGAAATCTGCACTTGCCCTAAATGGTTACCATTCTGCACAAGGTTACATATATTTAAGTCCCACTGATTTCAACGCACAATTTTTCATTGATTGCTCATTGAGAAAGTAATAACGATGAATAAGCATGTCTTCAGAGAATTGTATCTTCATATATTGGATAATATCCAAAGGGGTGCTTCTGCCTCTGCTCAATTCTTTGGGCCAGTGAGCCTCATGGAACCAAGAAACAAGCAAATTCTTGTTTCTGGATCAGGGAAGATCAGCAGATCAAGCCAGAACAATGTTTTCACTTGATTTTGGTAGTCTTTAAAGCCACTAGACCCTGCTGTGCTGGCATGTGGAGCCCATGGATGACTGCCCTTTATAGGTTATTGCACCATCTGTTCAACTTCTCCAAGTAAACACTTCATATATAATACCTTATACAATAGTATGCAATATCTGTGAGCACAAAATGCAAACTAGAGGTTCAAATAAGGTGCATGAATATGCAGCTGTCATGCAATATACAGGCACAGCTGCTGGATACAGATTTAAAGTAATGTTTGCTTTGGCCCTAAGTAGGTTGGCAAGAAACAGTGTTCAGCCCATTGCCGTGGTGAGCAGACCTTAGGCTTGGAGGACCTGCTTTTTCAGATTAAAGCCATGAATTCTACCTACTGAAAACAGACACAAAAAGGTGACTGAAAGGTGGCTCCCATTATCTTCTGCACCTGTTGAGCCAAGCTCTGATACAAGCTGGGCATCTTAGTCCAAGTCTCGATCTGCAGCATTATGCATCAAGAATTCTAACACAAAATATGGCAGATGAGCTTCACATTAATTTGGCTGAAGGTAACTCATATTTTTCAAGTGAAAAAAACTGAAGCCAAGTACAAGTGATTGCCACACTTAAAAAGAACTTGGAACTTTTAAGGAACAGAAAGTTCTGCTAGTATGTTTAAGTACTGAGTGAGAAAGAGAAGAATTTGCCTATGGATCAGGCAAGTAAGAGTGTACACAACTACAAGTGTAAATAATTGCTTTTATTAAAGAATTGGAGGCCGCAAAGCCCTGCTGGTCTACTGGTATTCCCCCAGTGGAAGCCCTAAACAAGCATCCTGCATTTAGACTGGCTACCTACCTACCTATCTTTGCACTTGTATGCCGCCAGTTATCCAACTGGGGATCTCTGTCTTCAGTCCTTGCAACAAATTTATTAATACTTCTTTCTTCCTTCTTCCACTTTCAGTGTAATGGGAAGATGATACAGGAAGGGGGAAAAAGTGGTTGGTTTTTGAACAAGCTAGTGGCTTCCCCCTTTCTTCCAAACTCCCTGAACTTTATTTTAAGAGATGAACTTAAAGCCAGGAGCTGATTCAATTAAAAAACAATCTGTGCAGTGCCTGATATATATTAGCACATAAATAATAGATCAATAATGTGAGTACATTTCAACTGGGGTTGACAATGTTAATGTGGGATCATTGGGCCTCATCAATAGTACTGGAGTCATACAGAGAGCAACAGTGTTGGAAGGCAGAACCATGTAACAGGTAGCACACAAATAAACACCTGCTTGTGTAAGAAGTGATTTTCTACATCTCATAATATTTTTCAACTGGCCACGTTTAGTTGTTACCCCATTTTGGTGAGGTTGGGACACTCCTGCTCTAAATTGTACCTGCATTAAGCTGTTTCTCCTTTCTGCATGGAGCATTCCCCAATTTGGCCCTCCCCAGTTGTTTGGGGTTTCAACTCCCATCAACATCAGTCAGCATGGCCAAAGTTCACACATGCTACAGGAATACCTTTTAATTTGGTTAAAACACTCAAGCACTGACGCCTGCACACACATGTAGAGACATGCTGGTGGTTACAGTCAAAAACAGCTGGAAGGTACTAAGTTGGGAAAGGTTGGTGTACACTGTGTATCCCTACATTTGCAATGCCATCCCTTGCTACATCTTGGTCCTCCACGGTGGAATGTTTCTCTGAATTCTGACATCTATAAGTGTTCCTTTAAACCCACACAGTTGACTTCCAACCCATCCAAGATGGTGACTTTTCAACCTGAACATGGGTATATTTCAGGGTTCCAGGTTCCAGAGTCCATCTTGAATATTTAGGTCTGCATGCTTAAGGATCAAAGCAAAATTACTGTATAAATATATGTAGTAGCCATGTTTTCCTTCTTACTCCGTAGTATGTCCAGAGTTGCCATTCTGGATTGGGTTCCTTGAACAAAGGGAAGAAGCCTCTGTGAGCCCCTCTGCTTACTTTGGAATAAAAAATAATTAAAAAGATCTTCTTGGAAGACAAATAGGTCTGCTTTGGCTCTAAGAAATCAGCTCAATATGTTTATTCTTACATGGAGGCCTTGTTAAAAGTCAATACATGTAAGCCCAAAGAAAGA